AAGAACTCTGGTTAGGTCAAAGATTTTCTTCTGATATCTATCCCTAATAAAATTTGGCCTGGGGATTCATTCTACAACTACTTGTTCACCAACAACCTCATCTGTCATCATGAAACTTGCCTGAGACCACGCGTACTGGCTAACCATCTGATACAGATGCTGCTTTCCTGCAGAGCCACAGGTAGCCAATCCAAGTAACCAAAAGCAATTTAGCAAACTAAACTCCTGTTTCTCTAAGCAATTTAAAGCATGCTTTAACAGCAAAGAGTATTAAAACAAGATGACATTTCCATTAACCTACATTTCATTTTTCAAGAAGCCTTGAGATTATATAAAATATCATGAGTGGTAATGTACCACTCATGAAAGAACTTAACTATTCAAACACGGATGTTCATTCATCTGTTATCCATTCATTTACCCAACTCTAACTGTGTGTGTGTGTGGGGGGGTAAATATGTGTCGAATCCAAGAATATAAGATCCAGTTCCTGCTCCCAAGAAACACCCTGTTCTTACACAGGAGATGACAACTAAGGATTGTGATGGATGCAAGAAAACTGCAGTGAAAGATTCAGAGAATTCCAGTGTGGAAAAAGACAGAGGTCAGGGCAGGGGACCTCATCCGGGCAGGGCAGGCAGGAAGAAAGAGATGTCTGACAGAGTTCTTGAGAGGCTCGGTCTCCGAGGAGGACATCCATATAGAGGAACCTGCCTGTGCAATGGCATGGGGGCTCATATGTTCAAGTCACAATGGCTGGACTGAAGGGCAATGTGGAGAGGTGGTAGCAGATGAAAGTACAAAAGAAGACAGGGGTCTGGTCATGCAGAAGACATGTCACACGAAGGAAAATGAACTGTGACTCTAGCTACATTTCTAATGCAAATCTTCATAGTTATAATCCAATAGTACAACGTTATTTTCAAGTAAAATGTCACAAGTATCTATTGCAAGTATTATTTGTCTTGAATATTAAACTTTATTAGCTTCTCCTCTGGACTAAAAGTTGTAGGATGACAAAAATGAATTTTTTATTAAAGTACCTGCTCCTATTTAATCTACCCCATCATGGATCCACTAGAGATGTATGAAGGATCACGTCACTATAAGGCCTTAAAAAAGATTATGTAAAAAAGGTTATTTATTAATTTTTTGTGGCTGTGTGCATGCATGTTGTATGTACACTTGTGTGTGGAGGCCAGAGGTCAACCTCAGGTGTTGTTTCTCAGAAGACATCCTGTTTGTTTTGGGTTTTTGTTTGTAAGATTTTTATTTATTTTTATTTTATGTGTATGAGTGTTTTGTCTACATGTATGTAAATGCATTACTTGTATGCCATGCCCACAGAAGAGGGCCTTAGATCCCATGGAATTGGGTTAAGGACTCATGACAGCCACTATGTAGGCGCTGGGAATCGAATCCTGGTCCTCTGGAAGAGCAATAAGTGTTCTTAACTACTGAGCCATCTCTCTAGCCCCCTCATCCCCAAATCTTGTTTTTTGAGACAGGGTCTCTCACTGAGTCCTGGGCATGCTGATTTGGCTAGGCTGACTGGCTAGCAAGCTCCAGGGATCCATCTGTCTCTGCCTTCCCAGGGTTGGGATTATAAGCACTCACTACATTTGCCCTTTTAGGTGGGTGCTAGGGATCAAACTCAGGTCCTCCTGTTTGCCTGGCCTGCAATTTACTGACTCAGCCATCTGTCCAGCCAGCTCTCATCATAAAACATTTTTTTGCTCTCACAAGACTTTTGTTACTTAACTTGCCACAGACTAGATATTGTATTAAAAACATTAGAGTTCTGTTCACAAAAGCTTGTAACTTAAGAAATAACAGTTGTTATTACTGTTAATTTTTAGAACTGAAATGTCACTGCTTTGTGTGACAGATTGAGAAACAAACTAATCATGAAAAGGCCATAAAAGCTAACAACTAAAGGAAATAAGCATACTAAAATAAATCAGTGTAAAACTATATATGATCAGAATTTCTGTTGTTTATTATGACTTGTCTTATTGAGTTGAGAAATCTATTAACTTTCTGACATAGGAGGATGGGACTCACTAATTGAGTTAGAGGAATGTCACTTTCATTGTCAGGCAGATTCACAATATTTACAACTTAAACATCACCCTTTCCTAAAATACCACCAACATTGTGATAAGCAACTGAAGCGCAGTAGCAAAACACCTACTGTTCCTCCTCACATGGGCATCTGACAGTGCTCATGACAAGAGGATGCACATGGCACCTAAGCCAATGCATGGAGCCTTCAGGCTGGACTTCTGTGGTCTGTGTGCTGACAGACTGCTTCCTCTCTCTGAATAAGACATTCTAATGTTGGCTGCTCAGCTTCCTTTGGTGGTCCTCTAGGAATCATTTGCTAAAAATCTGAGTTTTTTAAAAAAGTGTTTTAACATTCTATAGCCCCAAATGAGAAGCTGTTCAATCCATCCATCAACAAATGGTTGGAAAGGGGCCAATCTCTGGTCAGTGTTATGGTGACTGACCCAGCTTTTCAAACTGGGGAACACAAATTCTCACTTGTATAAAGGGAGACTATGAAGGCATGCTATCAAGAGGACACATCTTTATGCTACTGCTTATTCAATGCTCAATAAGCTAAAATAGTTTTATATTAAAATAATATATGAACTACACAATGAAATGTAATAGATAAAATACTGCATCAATTAAGATAGCACACAGAAGTCCAAAGAAACTGTGTTGGTGAAAGCTGGTTTTGACCATTGCCCAAAGACTTGGGGTAGCACGTGTGTTTCTCTATATGCTGGTAGAAACCCTAAGCAGCAGTGGAAAGGGAGCATACTTCAGAACCAGACAAGGCTAAGACTGACTGTGATCAAGTCAAGGATGACCTCGAGCCTTGGTGTCCGCATCGAGTTACTGAGAAAATTTACAAAACGTAGCACAGTCCTGAGGAAGCCAGGTGAGCTACTGAAAACATGTCCTACCAAGTCATGTTCCTGCTTACAACTGCCCACGCCCTCACTTCTGCCTTTGGAAGAGAGCCCTTCATAGCTGCTCTATCATGGTTTAAGCCCGCAGGTACAATCTTCAGCAGTCTGGCAAAGTCTCTGAGGCCCTTCTCAGAACAATGTGTTAAAATTCAAGACATATAATACATATGAATACAAAGAATACTGATCATATTAAAATGCAGTTAAAATATTAATAAAAACAAAATTTACGCTACAATAACCTATGCATTTCTTTATTAATGCATCAGATAACACAATATAGCAGTAGGTTCTAGAATTACAGTAATTTTGAAATACTGATGAACAAATAACGTATCAGGATGTCTGTAACAATGTGTTTGGTATGACGATACTTGTGGTTTCTAGTTGTGAGTCACGGGGCCTACTACTACTACTTTGGGCTCATTATTTTTCCCTTTGTCTACATTTCATGATTGAAGGAACCACTAAATTTCTTTTAGACATTAGTGATGATAAAAATGTATCTTTATATTGTAATTCCCATCCAAGTACATGGAGCCCTGGATTCTACCCATGGTTCCTTGAAGGCCCATGGGCCCAGGGCAAGTGGCACCCTCTGACCTCAGCCCCCATCCTACCTGTCCTTCACATTCTGGCCATGTTGGCTATTGCTCTTCAAACACCTCCAGCTCTGTGCATTTTAAGCATTTCTTTTGCCTTTTCTCTCTATCTACGATTCTCTACCCTCAGATCTTTACACAGTTATGTCTTTCCCATGATCTTTATCTCAGTTCCAATGTCACCTCTCTCAAAGGGCTTCTGGGACATTCTTATGTAAAGCAGCCACCTGCACACCTCTCTTCCATTAAGGCTGTACCATGGTCTGAAGTGACTGTGCTCATTTATACTTTCTTGGGTTCACTTTCAGCTTTCTTGCCCTAAATGTGCACTCCGTGGGAACGTCTTATCTCTCTGTTCAGTTCCTACCACTGGCAGGCAGTACAGGAAAAGATCATAGATACTGCTCCTTTCATTCTTCACTGTGTTTTTAGTATGGCGGGGATTCAGAGATGAGGGGCATATACCTGCTCTTAAGAATGACAATCCATTGGATCCTGGGAATGGCTCTAGAGAGGGTGGCATGAGCCTGGACTGACCTAGGTTCCTGTCCAGGCTTCTAAGCTCAGCTGAATGATCATAAACAAATTCCTCCATGGCCACTGTTGCTATGGAGTAGGTTGGGCAGACTTAATGTCCATAGACTACGATTCATGGTCATTAAGTACTACAATGTATTAACAGAGTAGAGGGCAAGAGATGGATGCTGACCCTAAGCAGAGAAAGCTTCCCAGGCTGGTAAGGGCTGGGAAGAGTGATCAGTTCCTAACAAATGGTAGAGAGGGGATTTTTGGTGTCATGAACTAGCTTCCTAGGAGAAAGCAAGATGGTTTTCTGTATGAAGCCATTTCTGGAGAAGTAGCCCAATACTCAAGCTCTTAAGATGCAACTGGGTGAGTACGTTAAAAGTATAAGCCACAGACTCCAGTCATAGCAGCTCACACCTAATCCTGGCACTCAGTGCACAGAGGCAGGAGGATCACTGCAAGTCAGAGGCCGGCCTGGTCTCCATAGAGAATTCCATGATAACCAGGACTTCACAGGGAGATCCTGTCTCAAAAAACAAAGAATATGAGCCATAGCATGGTACTGCCTGAGTTGAAATCTGACATCTGCTGTGTTTATTTGCCAAATTACTTACCTTCTGTTTCTCAGTTTCCACTTCTATACAATGGAAATGACAACAGTGGATATTTCAAGAGGTTATGGTAAAAAGTAAATGAGAGAATGAATGCAACATACTCATCACATATTCCATAAAAACTTATAATTCTTTTTGCTAAATAGTGTACTCATGCAACAAATTTTTAAGCATCTCTTCCCAAAATTTTCCCCCCTTTTCACTGTAATCAAGTTTTTATCACAGGGATTATGTTACTCAGCTTGTGTGTCTGAGAGGCAACAACAACTGGGCCTTACCTTTTCCTTGACATTCACATGAGTATTGAGTTCAGCCATCTTGCTTCTAGTGGAAGAAGTCCTATAAAGAAGTAATTAAAAGAAAGAGTTCAAGTTTCAAAGATGATTTCCCAATGTGTTATTTTTATGATCCCTTCTGACACTGCAAAAATTTCATTTAGTTGTAATCAGAAATACTGTTTTAGAATGTAGAAATACTTTCCAGTTAAAACGCTGACTTAGGTATGTTCTAAAAGCATGTTATAACTCTGCAAGACAAATGTAAAATCTTTAATTCATACTGTATGACATGAAAAATGACAAGAGATAGATGGGAATGCACCCAAACTGTGTTTCTTCTTTTATGGGGGTAGGAGAAAGGAAAGGGGTCAAAAACGGAGAAGAAATAGTACCAATTTCAATTTCATGTCAACCTTCATTGTTCCAAACTGTTATCAGTCCCTAGGAAATCTCACAAATATGTATAGAGCATCTCATGCATGGGCAGAGTTACCATATAGAGCACTATAGAAACGAGAGAAATGGCTACAGGTGTAAACATAAGAAACGCTTTTCTTTCTTTAAAAAAAAATTTATTATTTTATGTGTATGAGTGCATTGCCTGCAATGCATGTAAGTGTACCCGTGTCATGCAATGCCTGTGGTGGTCGGGGGGTAGTGCCAGATCCCCTGGAACTGGAGTTAGGATGGTTGTCAGCCATTATGTGGGTGCTGGAACTGAACCCTGGTCCTCTGCAAGAGCAGCCAGCATTCTTAACCACTGAGCCATTTCTCCAGCCCCCACTTTTCTTTCTTTTTTTTTCCATCTCACCTCAGATCTTAGCAGGGCTGTTTTCCTTCCTGTCATCTTCACCTCAGCTCAAGTGTCTCCTCTGAGGAGAGGGCTCTCCTGACGACCTCAGCTGCAGCTGCCACCTCTCTGTCTTCCTGTCTCCCTGTCCATCAGCACACTTAGTAATATGTTTACAAAGAACTTTTGGAACAACACATAGATGCTCTCACCATAACTTCCAAAGATCATGACTCACCATCTCCAGTCTCAGTGGGCCCTGAACACTACCCCCATCCTCCTGCTTTCGAATTCTTCCTGTTTCCCCCACTGCTGTCTGTGAAGCAGCCTCACTCTGAGATCTCTAGCATCAAGCTGTGGTATTTTTATTTCTCTTAATCACCATTATTTTGGAAAATAGATCTTATGTCTTTGATAGTTTTAGTCTTTTTGAGTTAGAGAACAAATGACTTAAATACATGAACAGATTGGTCCACAAATTAGCAGCTAGTCAGGCTGGAACATCAATACATATATAACCTATTTGATGTTGACCACTTTCTGTTCTATCAAGAACCACTGAAACACTTTCTTGTGTTCTTTCTGACTTTTGATATAAAGCAGCCCCATCTCTAGAGATGATACATGAAAGACACCACTTACAAACATGTTTTGCTTTCTTCCATTTTCTCTTAAACCTGGGTTTTAGGTAAAATATAAATTTAGATTCAGTACTTTTTGCTTTTGGATGAAAGCCTGATAATATCCAATTATTCTCAAACAGGAATTCATTTAGACGTATCAAATATTGGAAACAATATGATTTTATTTTTAGAATTTTCCAAAGAGAACTGCCAACTGACACATGTGTTTGGGTAAGCTAGCCAGAGGCCCTGCATACTCTTTCCCAGTAAGGCGGCTCTTTGCAACATGCTCTGTGCAGACACCACCACATTGAAAATACCTGTCATTTCTTCCAGTTGGCAAATGCTGTATCTTCAGACTTGGCATAGGGCAGAAAGCAAATGTACTAGCTGGCAAATAATACCTCAATTTCCTTCTGACTTGCTCCTGCCCTTGAAAGTTACTAGTGAAGATAAGATTGTCTGATTATCTCTAACAGTGAATGGAGACAGTGTGCACAGAACAGGAACGAATGCTTGGGTGTTTCTTACAAGCCCAGGACAGAAAGTGAAACCTTTAGTCATCACAATGCCTTCAAGATGGTATCCAGTTATGATGTTTAGAAGACTTCTGGACGGTTTTCTCATTCAATTGGAAGCATGCACGCGCTATGTAAACATTCACTAAGTAGATCTTTTTTTCAGTGTGTGATAGTGCACATATGGAAGGGGTATCAGATTGTGAAGCTACAAGCAACTGAAGAGTGACAGCTGGCTTTGGTGTCATTGGGTAGGAAAAGGCATGTGAGCCACAGCTAAATCAGCTGAATTTTTCTGGGCACATTTAACTTTGCCATTACAGATGTGTGAAATCTGATGGAAAAGGACTTTAAAATCCAGAATTTGGTATGCAAAACGCTCTGAAACTGAAGAGTTTTTGTCCACAGAGGAATCTTGAAGTAATCCCATTGAGCAGACATTTGAAAGGTCTGACAAAGGCACAGACACACACACACACACACACACACACACACACACACCCTTCTTGGCAATTAATTCCTTACTCACTGACCTCAGAATCCAACTCTAAGAAGGCTCTTCATTGGATCTGAGGCCAATAAGATTAGTCACAATGTTACTTTTTCGTGGAAGGAAAATGCTGCCTACAAATGTAGGCTGGGGCTATTATAGGTTTCTCAGATGTGAAGACAGGAATAATTGTAAGCGCCCAGCCTTCCCCACCGCCTCCATGGAGTCTGCCTCTACAGACTCTTCTTTCTAGGTGGATCCTAATGCCCTTTCCAAACCACACATTTCTGTTGGCTCGTATACAACAGGGTTGGGAAATCGCCCATAGCTCGTTATGGAAATGAAGAGAAGAGTTTTAATCTCAACAGATCAAAATTTTGGTTTGTCTCAAAAATTATGAGTTAAGTGTCTGAATGTGAAGTTGGGTTCTACTAATAAGGACTGATGCCAGGGAAACTGTGGGGTGGGTGACACGGAAGTGCAGCTATCTGCAGGTGTTTAGGAGTCTCATTTTCCAGCTGGCACTGATCCCACCAGAAAGTTCAGAGGCACATTGTGCAAGGCCTCAGGCATTTGCTTGGGAGTAGACTAATCCCCCCCCCCAACCTCCCAAAGGTGAAAATGTGTTGTACCCTTCAGCTTTGGAAATCTGTTTCCTGCTGTGAGCTGTGTCTGGCTAGCCAGTCCCACTTAATATGAATCTTGCTTACTCCAGATAGTGAAGGAACTTTTCCTCCAGGAAGTACATTTTTCACCTCCTCCCATATGACAAGCCGGGGATTCAAGAGTGTAAAATTCCAGCCCTATAAGCTGCAGACACCAGAAGCCTCTAACGTAGTCATTTTCAGGCCCTTCCGTGAGAGGCAGATGTTAGGGGACAAAAAGCCTTCTTAATTCCTTCAAACCATGTTTGGCGATCACACCTGTTAGTGTGTTATTGGTAGACATGATTCATTGATCATTCCTTAATACACACTGATCATAACAGCTCTGACTTCTTGGGAAAGAACCCGATTTCTAATTCTTATTATCACTTGAGACTATTCTTGAAACAGATCAGTTACTGGAGTCTAACTCTAGTCATGTATTGCATACAATATCTTGGTCAATGACAAGCTGCATGGAGGGTGGCATGTGACACACAGCCTATGTGTGAAAGTTGTTATCATCTAAATTTGTGTAAGTACACTACATGTGGTGCTCAACAACAAACCTCCTAATGATGCTTTCTCAATGTCCATGTTCTTAAGTGATATACAACTGTATTCAAGTCTATGTATGCATGCTCCATGCAAATTATTAATCAGCACAAAACTAAGATGCCCACAAGTTAAGTGCTGATATTCATGTAACATTTCAGAAAATATATGTAGATATCATATATTTTAACACACACCCTAGAGAAAAATAAAGATCAAGAAAATGATAAAATCTTACTAGGAAACACATCAATCATAAAGGAAATAATTCACCATTTTAATACATTATCTCTATACTCCTCTAGAGTAAAATTAATAAAACATGAATATGATTATCACCAATCACTTCAAGCACAAAGTTATATCAGACTGACAAATTTACTGAACAACGACCAAACTTATGCATTAATGCCAGTCAGAAAGCCTACTAGCTTATAAACAAAGATAAACATTTTTATGAAAAATAAACCTGAATAGAAGTAGTTTGGGTAAATTTATTTGTTTCAGCATTTCTAACTGATATAATACAATGAAATTTAATATATATGTCAATGTGATCAATTACCAATCCAAGTTCAAAATATGTGTATTTCTTATGCAGTCGCAGGAAGCAGTGGACTGACTTTCATTTTCTCTCATGTTGCACTGTGCAAGCAGTAATAAGGTTTCACTTTTGTTTCTCTGGAACCTATGACTGCTCTTAGGTTCACTTTCCTGTTCTCAGGTATTACATCATTCTGCTTGAACTGGATCCAGAGAACCAGATAAAAGCCTTGAGAAAAAACTCAAGACAATTAAAATTAACAATTTCCTTCAGAACCATTTATGAAAATTTCCCATGATTTATAAAAACATACAGATCAGACTGCATATATGGAGTTATTAATAGTCATAGATTGCATACAGGATGGGGATCCATTCAACCTTCTGGCTAATGACCATCAACTGAAGAGCTTCAAAAAATGGAAGTTTGTAAATCCAGGTGCAACTGTGGTTATAATTAATAACAGCCTCTCCCCAGATCACTCCCCTGTACAGCTGGTCTGGGTTGGAATATACTGGAAGTATAAAATATATGCTAGACTTTCTAGACCTAGCACAAAAAGGAATGTAAACTATCTCATTAATATTGATTACATATTGAAATGATGGTATTTAACACATTTGGCTAAACAAAATGTATTATCAAAAGTTAATTTCATCAATTTCTTTTTATTTATTTTTAATGTGACCAACTACGACAAAATTCACAGTTGTGTCTGTGGGACTTGCACTGTGTTTCTACTAGAAAGTGCTGCCCCACAGCAGTGGTTCTTGGAGTGCAGTTCCCAGAGGAACAGCCTCACTATCACCTAGGGACTTGTTAGAAATGCAAACAGCCTGTCAAATAAGGTGGGTGAATTGGGAGCCGGAAGGGTGACAGAGAGGGAGGAACACAGCA